TCTGTAATTGAGAGAGGACCTTTTAAGCATTTCTTGGTCTTATATCCCACTTTCTTAGTCACCCGCGAAACGTTCACGACTCAGGAACTATTATTACCTATACATTCTTACAAAAAATCGTTAGCAATTTCGCTATCTGGAGATTTTGACCTACCACAAATTATGAATATCTCTCGTTAACGCCCATCTTATTAAAAACGCCGCTACGGACCCGTCTCTTCCTACATCCGATAGGATTATTTGTCTCCACGATTAAAGTGAGGAACTACATTTCCAAACATTTCCGAACAGTCATACAATGTTCCTTTCGAGAGGAAGGAGCCATTCCCAGCGTCGTTCGTTCGAGATCTCCGAAACCGTTGACCAACATGGTCGGAAAATGTAACAGGCTCGAAAGTACTAGCTCTTAACGTCCACGCGAATCCCGAAGCCACTTTCGCACTTGGTTCGAAAACGGAGGTAGTCGTAAATCGGAGCTCGAACGAGATCGCTCCGGTCCAACTTCGGGCGACGTGGGGCGACGTGGGGCAACGTGGGGCGACGTGGGGCGACGTGGGGCGACGACGGCCGCGCGAGGTGTCCCGAATCCAAGAATCTCGTCGCGTTGAAATTCCCAGATTCGCTGATTGGCTACGGGGAACAAAGTTAGGTTCCTAATCTTGTTTCCGTCGGCGTTTCTCCAACTGGTTCCCAAATTCGGTCCGCGGCCCCCCGCACGCCGCGTTCCCCAATCAGTTTAGCATTAGCGCGGAAAAGTTCTAATTACTCGCTGCGAGGGGAATAACCATTAGTCTCGGCTGCTTAAAAAGTTCCGCACCTACCGACGCCACCGAAGCATTACTCTTCTGTAAACGGACTTTGGGATTCACGCGCGTACGCTATGGCTCCATTTGCAAAACCCGAGTCCTTTTTCAAATGGACAGGGACAATATTTTGACATCAAATGCCCGCTACGTTTAAAAGTAAAGTTGGACCCTTCATTTCACGGCATTGCCATTTGTTATCGACTACTGTAAACTCAGTGAATCCCTTATGACTGAACAACTTAACCGAAAAGACTGGCACTAACATACTCTACTTCTACGAGACTAATGGCTCCTTCTGGCAGGATGTTGAATAGGAAGTTCGTCTACTATTTTAAGAAGTGTTCACTATTTTACGCGTTAAAATTCTCCAGACTTGTCTACTTGGCGGGTACTCGGTCTCTTCCGTATTAGGTCGGCTGACGTAGAATTTCATAAGGCGCGAGGATAGTTTCAGTAAACCGTCCTTAACGCCCATCTCCTCGAGCTGAGTTAGGATCTTTAATATGTCCTTCCCAGGGAAATTAAGGCCCATCCACTCTGGCGCACCTTGGTTCACCCTAAGTCGCATACCGCGGTCCTCCTCTTAACCGAATTTCCAGCTTGACCTCGGCTCCATTCGGCACCGCTCATCAAACGAGGCTACCAACTCCCCCGAGATCGAAATTGTCTCCCCACTGCATGCGGAAACGAGAACGCCTCGTTAACACTTAACGCCGGCCAAGTAATTTCAAGTTTATGCGATTTAACCGAATAGGTGGGTACAAATGAGACCCCGTTAGAACTTTATCGCGCGGTGAGCAATTCGATGGTCTGGCCGACGTTTGTGCCCTCGGAAAATTATTTCCAGCGATTCTACTAAACCGTCATGCAGCGTGTAGTACTTACCTCGTGTACCTCCCTGAGTAATGTGTACGGTTATTGGCACTTTACTCGAATATTTTACGGCGAAGCCCAGGCAAGCCATGAAGTGGAATATACGCAAATTAATCGTCTAAATTAGGTCTATATGTATAGCAAACACATATCGTCTATCATCAACCTAAAAAAATATCTAAAGGGCATGTACGTGTTATGAATTTCATTTTTATTATCAAATACGTATGAATATCTATAGACCATCTATTGTAGATATCAAAGATATATATACGCTCGTACCCTTAGCGTGGTGGAATTGATTTGTTAACTGATCTAAATCTAATTCTAAATTAACTCTGGAACTACTAAGACCAGTCAAAATGACTGGTTTCAAATGTCCCATTCTAAAAAAAAAAAAAAAAAATCCGCTGATAGTGTTAACGCTTCGGTATTGGATCGGTCGAGGACGATCCAGTGCCGGTTCCGGAGCGATTTTCTCGCGGAAAATTCCGATCCGACCGTGGGTGATACGTTACGACGCCGATAAGTTACAGCTCGCGAAGACCTTTAATCATTGTAGCCTCCATCGGCGCTTTGTCCGAGGGCCTCGAAGCCGGGTGCGGCGGCAGTAAATTGGTGCCCAGGTGGCGCAGGGAGCTGCATCGCCGATACTAAGTCAACGCGGCGAAACTAAGACTAACTACCGAGGGGCCGCGGGGAATCCAATTAAACATCCTGCCCCGCGAATCTTTGATAGCGTTTGACCCGTGAATACGACGCACTGGGGGGTCGCCCCGGTGGGCGAGAATACCGAAATCACGCCACCGGAAGTCCCATTCACCGGCGGATCACCGACCCGCCGAGTTGGCGACAACTCCCCGGCCGAGCCGCGAGCCCCATCGGCCATTCTCTCGATTTTCGGAAACAAGTTTGCCCCTGGGAACGACCGGCGCCCGGCTTTGCCTTCCGCTCCCGGGACCACCTCGATTTTCCCGCCACCCTTTCTCCCCTTTCGGGACTTCGGCTCGCCAAGGACTGCTCTTTGCCCTCGGGATTTCCGGATCGAAGGAGGCTCCCGGACGTTTTTTGCAGCTCCGGGTAGGTGGACGTTGGAGTGGATTCGGGATTTCTCGTTCATTGGGTTCATGTAGGGGAGACCTAGGTTAATTGTAAGAATTTGTATCTTTCTATTTCTAGGATTAATTGTAACAACTGTTTGTGATCGAAACTTGGTCCATATATTAAGTGAATCTTCCCCTGAAAGACAACCTACATAACATCAGCAATTTTTATATTCTCCACTAGGTGTATTTGTTACATTTGCAACCCTTGCAGGGGATGGTTGTAACCCTCGTCTCGTATCTCCAGATAAAGACGGGCCGATTCTGGTTCTAAACTGCGATCGGAATGAAAATTCGTTCCGCGATAGTTTGACCATTTTGATGGGAGTTACGCCGCGAAATGGCTTTCTTTAGCGTATGCAATTGCACATCGAAAAGCTGCGGTCGCAAATCGCAAAGAACGGAAACGAAGGCAACTGTCCCCAATCGTTTTGTCTAAGCTCGGCCAATCGAACCGGCTCGACTCGTGCACCTCCGTGGTGTGGGAAAAATTTTCCGGACTGACGAAAAATCCTGTTCCCCTCGGCTCCGTTTCCTTTGCGAGTTCTTTATATCTGCCACCGGCAGAGCCCGCGGCCTTCGTATATATTTCCCCCCGACTCCGCGAAACAACTCCATCCCCGAGAATAACTAAGCCAGCTGGACGTCCGCGTTTCCGCGGGCTTTTCAGAGCCGCCTCTCGACTTTTCCCAGTTTTCCTTTCCTCCGGACTTGTATTCGCCGCGAGTCGCTCCCGATCGGTCGATTCGGGCCGCGGCGGAACTTCGCCGGGCGGAAGGAAATTTCCCGGAAAGCATCCCGCCCCGGGAAACTGGGTCTCGGTCGATTTGCCACCGCCAACTTCGTATAGGACTCTTCTCGGCTGCGAAAGAGGACCACAGCCATCCGGAGGACCTCGTCGAAAAGTTTCCCTCTTTACCCCGCGGCGGGAATTTTCCCGAGCTACATTTCGCGCATATTCGATTTCAATTCCCGCCCTCTGCCGGCACCGGGGTGAACTATTATTTTCATCTCATTGTCGCCCCGGTTCGCGCGCATCCACGAGAGAGCTCGTTCTGCGGACCGGAAATGGCGCCAGCTGAGATGCCGGAAGTAAGATGGCGCCGACATCGCGCCAACTCCGCGCGTCGCAGACTCCCACGAGATGGTGAATCTAGTAAAATTATCCCTATTACGAATCTTCCCCGTTATTACGCTTAATATGCGATCGTAATCGCGGGCGAACTGTTTAAGGTGATATTAAAGGATCAATATATATATACATATATATATATTATTTTCGCATTTAATATCAACTTTACGTCAAGTTGAAGTATACTTTGTGATCTGGAATACGTCAAAGAAACATCAAGTATTACGAATAGAATTCAACTCCATTCAATCGACTCGATTACAAAGGAATTAGTTACAAGGGAAAATTTAAATACGTAAGAATATTTAAGTACTTTATTTATTCTCGCATTTAATTACACATTTATTCATGATACCTTTAACTAATGTTTAAAAAAATATCGTAAGGAATTCAACAATTGAACCCATAATTCATAGGCAGTGGTGCCATCTACTCTCTCAAGACGCAATCTCCTGTTACACTTTCCTTTGCATGGGATTCTATCTTCTGTTACCTACTGTGGATGCAACAGTTCCTTTATATATTCCAGACGTCATTTACAATATCCACATATGATAAACTCAATAAAGCAGGGACCGACCATCATTAATAATTCGCCGAAGGACAATCAGACTTAAAAAAAAGCACCGAGGAAAGAATTGCTTCGAGATACTTGAAGTTTAAAAAACCGTAGTCGAGGGTTAGAAATATATTATTATTAAAAAAATGTTAAACGCAAAGAGCACACGTTTCTGTACGTCAGATGGAGCCACATTTATTGATTAATATAATTCTGATAGCGACGTTACCATCATCGTAGTGATGGTCACGTGAACAAAATAACGTTTCATTTTCCAATAGTATCTGCTCTTGGCTTTACAGGACACTGCTTTACCATCGGGTGGTTATGAAACGTCACAAGATATGTTATTTCCACTGTAAGAAGCATCAGTGGATAAAACTCATATGAATTAAACTTTTCGACAAAATCATTATTTGTTTGATCGATACTGTCAAAGCGTAAACTGCTGTCCTTTCAGCGAGGATATGGCGTGTTTAAATTATTTATTTTTCTTACGATTGAAAGTATACAATGTGGTATTTCAGTGAATGTGGTTAACATTTCATTCCCGTCAATATGAATAAAATTCCGCAGCGGGAACCACCAGGGCGTTACTATTCAAGAAATAAAGTTCGTCTTGTGCCAACCTTAAAGTAAGTCAGTGCTAACCTTAAATCGGTTTCCAATTATATAAACTTCATCCTCCTAAATTATTATTGTACTTACTATTATGCTAATTTTTCCACGCCCTTCAGATGGGAGCGACAACTACCAAGTTCGAAACCCTACTGGGAAAGAGTCTGTAAAGAAGTGGAGGATAAAGTTAGGAGAGTAAGATTTCCCTTTCCTATTTCATCCATTTCTTCCAATTGTTCCTTCAGTTATCAAAATAGAATATCCTTGAAAAGAGCGGATAAATTTTTAGAGCCAGTAGTACACATTTCACCCCCGACCCCTCAACACAAACCACAGGAAGAATTGTATGAAAATAACATTCAATCAGACGAGACGCGAGATAATGTTAAGAAAAAGTTTGAAACCATTATCAATATTCCGTTAGAATCTTCCGTGGATGGAAATACAAATTTCACTTCGTTCTCTTTAAACGAGGAACCACAAATCGAAAAGTCCTCTCTCGTGGGCAATAATTTCGGTAATGAGAGAAAAATATTCTCATCTAGGTCCTGTCCATTTCATAAAAATCAACCACCTTTACGTATTTTTGATGACGATCTTAAAAGGGTTTTGCCGAAAAGTAGGAAAAGTAAACAAATCATTCAGAAGCAAACTGCCGAACGTCGGTCATTATCCGCATTGGAATTTCGAAAACGGCGTTCGAAAAAGATTCGTCCAATTAATGACGAATCTTTAATGGACACTGAAGTCAGAATTTCCCTAAAAAGCGGAGATCATGCAGCAAGGTCTAAAGAATCAGATTTAAATGAAATGAATTCCCAAATGATATCCGAAGACTCTTTGGAACAGGAAACCGAATCGATGAATAAATTAAAATGTGAACCATCGGAAAGTATTTCAGAACAAGGGGATGTCTCTTCCGAACAATTAGACGAAAAGGCAGCTTTTCGGAGTAGACCGATGCGAGAAGTACGATTCGTCCCATCCACGAAAATTCAGGAAGAATTAGGAGGGAAGATAAATGATGAACTCCAACCAACGTCAAAAAGGATGTTTTTTTCTACAGAGGATACAAGTCCCAGATTGACCAGAAAAGTACCAAAACTGGGCACCGTAAGTTTGCACCAAAGTTTCAGTAAAGCTGTGTCTTTCGACAGTACCGAGGACTCGTCGAAACATTCTAATGAAAAGACTGATGAACCTGATGTGGTTTCAAGCCCAGAAGAAAATCTGAACATGCGGAGCATGTTTCAAAGTGTTTTCCCAGCTTTGATGCGCGTACAAAAATTGCTACAGAAAAAGCTCCAACGTCAAAGAAGAAAAAATCGATCGAACAAGCTTTGGTTGAAAGCTGCGACCTCATGTCCAGGTTTCTATAAAGCTTCCGCTAGGAACAGTTCCCATGAAAGTGGCGACAAAGGTTCGTCGATGAACAGCCATGTTTTCAAGACGTCACAAAATCATGACGATTATTCAGGAAGGATGGAAACGTCTTTAGGAAAGGATCAGAGGATAGACCAATGCGTTACCGTTTCGAGTTCGAAGGAGTCAATGAACGCAGAATCCAATATAAAATCAGCCATAGAAACTGAGCCCAAAGGAACTCCTTTAAAACCAGATCCGAACGAGATATCCTACGAAGAAGAAATTATAATATCTAAAATGACGGAGCACGCATCGCAGGAGATCAAAGACGTCGAAGAGGAATTAGAGAGAACTTTATCGATCAGCCAGCAATCGCGGAAGCCCGTTTTCTTGAAGCGGTCGATCAGATATGCTTACCGAGCTCTAAAGTTTCTGACGGCAAACAAGAAACTGGAATTTTTTCCAAGGATTGCCGAAGCTTCTCCTAAGTCACCGAGTACTCTTTCTTCGGGGGCCAGTACTCCAACGAGGGAAGTCCAAGAGGAGAGCTTTTCATCAAGAAGAGCAAGCTCCATCAGCTACGACTCGATTGTCGGCAGACTGAGGCAAAACGCGCCGAAATATCTGGGGTCCAAATACGAGTTTCCCGAATGGAAGTCGATCGTCGACGTCCGGACCAAGACCATAACCACGAGTACTCGAAGCACGTCCGGTTCGAGTCCGGAGTTCCAGAAGACGACGCTAAGAAGTCCCTCGGACGCGGTCCTTTCAGGAATCCCAAAGATGTGCGCATATCCCCGAAGGACCTGCGACAGATGTCTGTGTTGCTTGTACAAGACATTTGAGAAGCCATTAGACGTGAAAAGGGAATTACCCCTGGCAGTGTTGAAGTCTTTTGTAAATGACCCGGGGGTAAAGATCCTCGACAGCGAAGCGAGCTCCGTCAGTGTCCCAGCAGTGGAGATTCCCCAACTGGATGAAAGATCCGAGCAGGGAAGCGGATCTCCCCATCGGAAAGTCGAAACCGTTCGCTTCTTCTCAACGGTGAAGATAATAAAGTCGATGCGTCTTCTGGACGGTAGTAAAGCGAGGTCGAGTCAGCCAGGAACCGGAGCGGTGACCATCCCGGAGCAGAGCTTATCCCCGAAGAACTCCCAAGCGTCGCAGCAAGAAAGCCATACTCTCTCCATCTCGTCAAGCCGGTCGAAAGCTTCCACGGGCAGTGGCCAAAGTTCCGAGGAAGAAGCTCAGGTTCAGATCGAACAAACGGTCCCCGCTCCGAAGTACTTCGTCCCGAGCTACGTTCCCTTGAACCTAACGCCGAGTCTAGATCAGCTGAGAGCACTCAAGCTTAGAAAGGCAACGCCGATGTCCGAGCGGGGTGCAACTCCTGTAAACGCGATGGCTGGAAGTGACGCAAGTTCCGAGGATGAAACCGAGGGAAAAAGGAACAAGGCACTTCCCTCGACTGTCCGCTCCGGCGTCTCCAAAAGGGACCCCAAGGTGGGACCAGGTAACCAAGTTCGAGGAGAGAGAGCCAGGTTGCTCGCTGATGCCGATGAGTTCAGCGATGGATCCCAGAAAGCCCAAAGCTCTATCGACTCGCTGGCTGCTAAAGTTGCCACGATGATGTCTCTGGGTGGTCGCATTAGTACCGCGACGCGAGTCGAAGTTAAGGGGACGCCTCCTGGAACAAACTTGAAACCGAGCCAGTTCGGGCCACGAATCTCCTTCGCGTCTGCAGGAGTCACTCCCAGGGGAGAAACGCTTCCCGGGTCAAAGGGGTCGGGGGGTTCCTCGCCGATCGACCCCTCTAGCTGGACCTCAAAGATGGAACTGGACGATCTCTTGGAGAGTTGTCTGGAGAGAGACCGGGACGTGTTGCAGTTGCTGTATTCCGTCAGAGATGAGCTGCTGCACCGCGATCCCTACTCCGATGGGGTTCGGTCGGTCGAAATAGCGACGAATTTGGTCGAGTTGTTGCTCGATTCCCGAATGTATCTTTTCCCCGATGATTTCCCTTCTGACTTGAAATTCTCCAAACAGCCGATCCTCTGTAGATCTCGGGTATTGAGACGAGCCCTACCCTTGACCACGTACAACACGGTTGCTCCAATTCTGGGGGTGCCGAGGTGGATCCCGAAATTGGTACCTTATAAAGACAGTCTAGATGAACGGAACAAACCCGGAGCTTTTAGACCAAGTAGCGGCAGGACTAAATTCTCTCGTCTTACGTACGACCTTACGGTATAACGGCTTGATAATAATTCTAAGGTTAAGGTGATATGAAAGGGTCATCCTATAGTAATTAATTATTGTCTAGAGTAATTACCTCCTAGGTACATCCGCCATCGAGAAAAGGCGGATCCACTCACGATGAAGACAAAGAATACCAACTTCCACGATTGAGTCCTTATGCTGTCTTCCTCACGAAACCAAGAAGAAAGGTAAGATGAGTATTGTGAACTATCAATGAAAGAGTTAAAAATGTATCTTTCCTTATTTTAGATGCAAGGGAATTCAAATATGTTTTAATATGTGTATAAGGAATATTTAAGTATATTTTTTCAAAGATTCTTCCAATTGACTAATAATATTATTTTCATGCAATGTTCGTTTACTGCATTAGGACGTTTAATTGGCATACCAATATGTGCATACAGATCAATTTTTTATAAACGACAGTTTTACATAAACGGCATCTTAAGCAAAGTAGAAAGTTTCAGTTTCGTTAATTCTTAAAGAAATCATTAAAAAAGCGTTAGAATCTAATTCAGACGGACATTACGTATTTCTTTACTTTCTGGTCAAAGGATTTGTATATACTGCCCAGCCATAACGATTAGTTTCATCGGACCGAGTTGAGAAATCTCTTTGGGAAACTTGTGAAAGTTGAATGTTTCGAAAGAGACAAGCTTAGCATTAAGTAACGTTGAAGAGATCGACGTAAAACTATCGAAATCCCGTGAATTCATTATTCTGACGGCTGTATAGGACCAACGTCGCCATCTGTGACGTTTAGTTGCAACTAAATTTTTTCTCTAAAAACACGTGGCTCTTGCAATCATTTTCCATATTTTCCCATCTAACTCTGTAATATTCCATTTCTACAATATTCTAAATTGTTCAAGCTAGGTCCTGAAACTCTTCATTTTCGTTCTAATCCTCCAAGAAGCGGAAAACATCGAAAATTAATCCTTTCATATCACCTTTATATTTTGAAACGAATCTATTCAAGATAAGGAGGACTTTCTGGTTTGGACTTTAACGGAAAGCTTGAAGAACGGGTTCTAGGCACTTCTTTTATACACAGGCTATCACATGGCGACCCTTATCGGAGTCCGACCTGAAGGGTTACGACCCCGAAGCGACTTTGAACATGCGTTCCACCAGAGTGACCAATAAGATCTGCAGCGAGTTCTGCGAGTGGCTGCGCAGCCTCGGAGGTGCCGACGAGGGCATCGACGAGGAGGTCCTGAGGGACATGTTCCGAATCGACTTTAACATCGACGCCAACAGGACTACCCAAGTTAAGATCTAATACGTCTGTATGAACCTGAAATCCAGTTCGAGGCACAAACAAAATTAACAGGCTTATTGGAATGTTTTCCTGACGCTGACATTTGTGCCATGTTGAGTTTTGCTTCTGGCATTTTTTACAAAAACCAGAGCTGTTCAAAAAGATAAAGAAATTCCGAAATCCTGGAAATTTGGATTTTTCGACCCTAATGGGTTCCCTGACGTTAGAGAAATTCCGAGCCTCCCAGAATCTCGAAAACGTTAAAATGGTCCACAAACAGAACTCAACATGACAGAAACGTCTACATCATGGAAACATTCCAATGAGCCTGTTAATTTTGTTTGTGCCTCAAACTGGATTAAAGGTTCACACAGCTATCTAATGCCTAAACTTCTTGCTCGGCAATCTATGATACCAGACACCATCACAGCTTCAAACGTTTGATTTCCGTTTTAATCGACAGATGAAGATCGAAGAGATGCCGACGGTACCCAGCGTGGTGGCCCATACTAGGAACCGCCCTGACGCCACGGAATTAGCGTTGACGAAAATGCATCTAATTAGGGACGCCAAGGCAGAGAAGCGAGAAAAGAAGACCGTCGCTTTCGGTACCACTCTTCCGGATGATCAGAAGTTTCTGCCGCCCAGAAACAAGGTCTGGAAACGGTGGCTGCAGTGCGAGAGCGTACCCAAAGATCTGGAAACAATGGATTTCGTTTGGGACGGGATCACGCACCTGGACAGCGTAAAAGGATTCGTCGAGTGGTTGGAAACTCATTCGAATGTAGGTTTCGGAGTAAAAAAGATACGCAGAATTTATCCTCTCTTCATTGTTGAGCTATCTGTGCGCAGGTCACCCCTCCAAAGGCTCTGAAAGCAGCTGTCATGAGTCCACCACCGATTGGAAGACAATCACGAGAGGATGACACTTTCGCCAACTTGGAGCTGGATCTGGATCAAATTAGAAGCCTCAAAGTAGACGATAACGATCGCGATATGAGCGGACAGCTACTCTTTCCTGTCAAGTCCCGGAAATAAATACCTTTTTCAAACCATACTCATCCTAACTTCATTTTACCACAGCTCTTTATAACATGTGTACAAAGATAAGGTTCAATATGGATATTATAACCGCTTGACAATTTTCTAAAGAATTTGTTACGGTTTAAAATACAGTTGGGTATTCCCCATATTTAGTAGTTGCTTTAGCTTCGAATCGCAAATCAGTCGGAAGGGAAACAAATAGTCCTAGGGAATCGTGGACACGAGCCTCGTGCTCATCCTCGTGTAGTGCTATTCGACGCGCGTTAATGTCGTAACAAACGCCCATTTCGTGTACGTGGTTTAAGGTTAGCCTCAAGAGTCTCTACAGAGACGCTCCTCTGAGTCCCCAGCCTCTGTACCACTTCATAGCTGATCTCTCAATCTGCTTCAGTGGAACTGGTTCAAATTTCGGACTGGGCCAACGAGCCGGGTTAAATTCGAATCGATTACATCCGGAAATGTCAACAGATATTACAAACGGTACAGGGGTCGAGGTTTCCATTTTGATGGACTGTAAGCTTTTCAGTTCAATAACGGAATTTGCAGTCGTGACTAAAACCGTGTCGTCGACAAAATAATAACTGGCCATTCCACGAGGTAAAATTATTTCAATAAGCCAACGAAATGCTGTCTGATCGGATGATAAAGGTGATTCTATACCTCGAAAACATATTCCTTAAGATGATAAAAAATGCGCTGAGAAGTTTAATAGACGTCGATAAATTAAAATTCATATATACCCTTTTTGGTACAATGATGAAGAGATCGATGTAAAACTGATAAAATAGATATATATATATATATATAGATTGATCCTTTCATATCACCTTAACTCATTTCGTATTTATTCAACTTTACAATAATCAGACTTGTCAGAAAAGTTCACCATGCATGGTCACGTTTTAGATGCGAGATACTTGGATACTTCAACTCGATATCTAACTAACTGCGTTACTAGGTTCTAACTCAACAACTATTAATCTTTATCATATTAATTTAACTAGGTCGCTGATACGATCAATCAACGTTGAGGCTCTTCAGGCTCGTAAGCGCTCTTCCATATGTCGACTAGACACACGGAGCTGTGGAACCTGTAGAACATCGTCAGAGGTACCGTCATGTGCTTCAGGATAGTCCAAAGTACCTTTCCGTAAAATTCGTATCTATAATCCGTCGTGTCAGTGGATTTGATCTCGAATGTCTCAATGATCCACAGAGCGACATTGCAAATTACCAAAAATGTCACTAGTTCCCGTCCTGGTCTCTCGTCTCGAAGTCTCTTCGAGTTTGAGCACCTTCTCAGACCTTCTATTATCAGAGGCGTCTGAATCAAGACTTGGATCACCTGAATCCGGACGTCAATGAATTAGCATTCATCCATGAAATCGATATATCTTGAAGATGATATGAAAGGCGCTGGGAAATTTAAGCGACGTCGATAGAATAAAATTCATCTATACTCTTTTTGATGGGAATTCCGTTTTCGATACTCAAGTGGTAACATAAGCTGACACGTCCCTTTACCGACAATTATATTTATTTTGAAGTCTTTTACAGTTACGTTGTTAATCGAATTTTTTCTCTATAAACACGCGTTAGCCCCGGGACAAGCCAGCTTTTGCAATCGTTGGTAAAAGTATTTCCATATTTTCCCATCTGACTCTGTAACATAGTCCGACTCTTTCATATCACCTGAAGTACATGCAACTTACTCCAAGAATGACGCTGGATATTTTCAGGATATCGTGTTTCTGCGTCGCCGGAATAATACTGAAGATCGCGTAGAGGAAAAAGGCAGGAATGGCGACGAAGAGGAGAATATCATCGAGAAGGGATATCGCGTGGCGATTCACGTCCAATTTCGTAATCTGCCGGTAAGCAAGAATCGCCGATGATGTCATCACGGAGAGCAGGATCAGCTCCGTGATTTGATTTGCAAAAATCCCGATCTCAACGTACTGCCTAAAAAGTCACATCGCTTCAACTCGCTCGCGTTCTGGAAATCGCTGCTGATCGACGATCATAAAACTAGCACGGATACCGCATGAGTGGAGTACTTACTGATCGGCGACGACGATGAAGAAGATAATAATCGACACTATAGATCCTACCAGGATCAGGATGCCGCCAAAGAGGCCTCTGTTTGCGTGAGAACAATCGGCATGTAAAATGATATTGCTTCCTGCCTGTGGTCCAGTCAATGGTGGACAAGGGGATCCCTCCATGGAACTCCCGCCACCTCTTCTACAGTTTCCGATATTATTCCACATGATATAAAAAACCCCAACTGAAATATGATTTAAGGCATGGTCAAATTTAAACGGAATATGTTACAAAAGGCTGATGAGCATTAGAACAATGTTCAAATTCACTCGAAGCCTCATTCACGATTGAAACAAGGAATTACATTTTTGCTAGCTACTATTTTTCTAGGGTAAAATTTCGTGACATATATTTGAAGGCCTTCAAAATCGTTTACTTTTTTATGTACATTTTCGTCTCTTACCGATCAATATACTGTACTCGATAGTGAATGGATACAAGTAAGGTGAGAACCACTCGTAGATGACGTTGAGTTCGGTATGTTGACAATCGTGGTCTAAGTGACTTCCGTTGAGGAATTTGAGCAAATCTCGGGCTCCTCGTTCCTGATAAGAAGTTAAAGGTAAAGCGACGGATGCACTTCCATCCGAAGAGACGAGGGCTGCAACTTCGGCGGAATCCTCAGCTCCGTCTTCCTAAAAGTAACAAAACATACACAAGAAACACTTATCATATTTTCAAATCAAATGATTAGGTAAAATCACCAATTACGATATGAACTAAGAAATATGTACCTTATCGGCAGCGTTTGCATGCCTCGACAAGGAGTCTGTGCTTTCTCTGACAATCGCCCAAACCCAAAAACAGAGACTGGAAGCTATAGTGTGCATAACTAGCATTCTAGCTATTACCTTGCAATGATTTATGATCACCTAGAATGTACAAAAAAACCGTAAAATATGACAGGACAGATACATCTAAGGAAATTTTACTGTAGACTCTCTTGTACTCACGTTGGAGTACTTGAAAATGAAGAACAGCTGGAAGAACGAATAAATAGGATAGATGGCATCGAAGACCAAAGCAGCGGGACTGAAGCACTCGTAGAACTCTTCGGATGTCAGAAACACTACCTAAGAGAAGGAAGATATTACATATAATACAATTAAGGTGAAGTGAATCACGTCGAGGAACTTGATCGACGTCTGCAAACAAGATTTTTCTAAATACCTTCGTTGCCGACGTTCGTTTTTATATTGACAAATGTGTCGAAATATATTTGATATTGTACCCAATGTTACCACTTGAGTATTGAAAACGGCATTACCACCAAAAAGGGTATACATGAATTTCATTTCATCGACGTCGATTAAATTTCTCAGCGCCTTTCATATCCTCTTAAAGCACAGATCACTTCGGAACGTGAAAACGTATTTTTCAACGCACGTCACCTGAAGGATAGTAAAGGGTTACCTCGTACACCAACAACAGTCCACTGTGGATCAAGTGACCGAAGCAGAAGACGGCAGCTCCAACTTTTAGGTAGAAACTGCCTGCATGTCTTCCTAAAGCGAAGCAGAAACCGTGATGCGGAACTGGAGCACTGCTGACGTCCAAACCGATCGTCGAAGTTCCGTCTAGCGTAAAGCAAATCGATTCTTTATATATGTCTTCGAAGTGATATCAAATTGCAAAGCTCACCTTCCTTATCGTAATTCGTCGTAGCTTCCAGGCGGTGCTTCGCCTTGCCGACCTGTCGACGGATGTCGACGAACAAGTAACCAAGGTAGGTAAATCCGACGAGCACGAGGTACAGATTGAAGGTCTTGGACGAGAAACGACGGGAAATCGTTATAAAGCAACGTGAGATAAAATTCTAATAAAGGTAAGACAATAGGGGATGTCACTTACGGCAGCTAGAGACGAGTTCACGGTTAGTATATCGGCGACGTAAATGACTATGCCCAGAGTTACTAAGAACACTGCGTATATACAGGACATGATTATAGAGATGAAGCATCTGAAAAAAATACGATTCTGACTGTTATCTATAGGCCACAAACGGGGTATTTCAATTGACATTGGTATCAAGTAAGGAGATATACCACGGTAATGTCTCGACATGACAGTAAATTCTTTTTATATAATACAACGCACGAAAGGAAGCAATAAGCTTCGCTTAAAACATAATCAATACAATTTCCTTTTGATAAATATTTGATAAGAAACCCCTGGCAGTTATGGTATCGCTAGAAAATTTTGATTTTCGCGTTCCTTTTGACCAGCTGATTATTATTGCGCGCGCAGCTTTGGTCTCTAAGCAAGGGACTCCCAGCACTTCGTGCGCCTGGACCCTTAGATGGAAATAAATATTCAACGAGAACACGCATTCTTAATAATTATTCTACCACGATAAAAATCCAGGATAGAAATCCCGAACAGTTTGCTACAACGATATTTTCTTTCCATGTGTCAAGTACTTGATGTACTGTGTTTTTTATCCCGACGCAGAATGAAACGTTGCCTTTCCCACTCGGGACAGTTGGTTGGTCGGATTTGGTCGGATGGATTTATCCGCAGCCAGTATCGATATTACACCTTCCTTCCGTCGTCGGCTCGAAACGTCAGTCCGAGTTGGCATCGGGCAATCTCTCGCAAACGAGCCGTCGTCGCGACAGCAAAATATTGTAGAGCGAGTCGCGGTCGCGGCTGTCTCTGGTTACGACAGAGCCGCGCGAAAGTCTCGGCTGCTGTCAGGCTCGCCGAGAAAAAGATGATTGCCTCATTTGCAATTTTTCTCCTTTGTCCTGTGGTCCCACCGCCCTCTCTGGGCCCGCCTTTACTGCCACAAAGCCGCTCTCGTCATCGGGGAGCCGCGCGAACGGCTTGTCACGCTTCGATCACCGGAATCATCCGAGGAAATTGACCGATTGACGACCGATCAACGACCCATTAAACGTCATCTGATATCCCAACCGCAGGAAACAAATCTTTCTGATTGATAGTTGGGAAAGTGGCGGAAAAGTTTATATCTGTAGCAGGTGTTTCCCGAATCGCCTGCTTCGGGAAAACGGAGGCTACGTGAACCTGGAATCCAGTTCGAGGGACAAACAAAATTAATAGGCTTATTGGGATGTTTCCGTGAGGTGGCATTTTTTTTACAAAAACCAGAGCTGTTCAAGAAGATAAAGAAATTCCGAAATCATGGAAATTTGGATTTTTCGACTCTAATGGGTCCTCTGACGTTAGGGAAATTCAGAGCCTCCCAGAACCTCGAAAGCGTTTCGGAATTTTTTTTTTTTTGACAGCTCAGGTTTTTGTACAAAAAAATGGCACAAACAAAACCTAACATGGCACAAACGTCTACGTCACGGAAACATGCCAATAAGCCTGTTAATTTTGTTTGTGCCTCAAACTGGATTCTAGGTTTACACAGCTTTTGACAGGTTTATTTTTTTCGTTTGACAAACAAGTATCGAAACTTACCTGAAAACGTGTTTCTTCTCTTCGTTCGACGTCGATGGCAGATATTGACCTTGAAAACTTGCAGCTTCGCTGCGTAAGCTTCCTGAACTATTGAAACCCCTTCCGAGATAGTTTGACTTGATACCACGGATATCGGAGCTTCTGCCTTTGAACCCATTACTATGTCCAGTGATGTTATCTGCAAAATGTATAAAATAACTGCAATAAATATGGAAATTACGATATTCATTAAATTCTATTCGTTAAATATATAGAAAATATAGTGCAAATATTTTGGGCTGTGGCTATTTTAAGATCCAACGTCACTTGTTACCCAATCGCATTGTTTATCGTATGAAATCAAAGGCAATCAGCTTTCGAGGAAGGAAATCATTTTCATTGATTTCCGAGTGAATGTCCCCTCGGTAGAAGTGTTCAATGCAACTCACTGTACGAATAGTACTCGCCATTGGAAAAGTCGGGGGTGACCGGAAGGTCCAGATTGGACTCTTCGGAGTCTTGCATTGGATTCCGAAGAGTATTCTGCGGTGCCACCAGCTGCAGTACCATGTTCCATCATATAAATCCTGGAAGAAGCGTGCAAGCATAATCAAACACGGTTACATAACAATAACATAACCATTACATAACGTTTGTAAAATGTAATGTATCATACATCTCACATAAATAACATTTGCTTTACTATTTCCTCCGCACCGATATAACACTGTTATAAAACAAATTATTTAACGTATGCCTAACATATCGTTAACATGTTATATGTCATGTTAATATTATATAACTGCAATGCTTACAAGTTTGTAACAATGATACCGAACGGTAATAATTCGATGTTATATTATATTAATGTATCTTTTGAATAACATTCGTTATATATCGTGTTATTTCAGTGTTATGTAACTGTAACAAATTATGTCAGATTACAATGTTTATACCGATAGAGCCATTGAGCACCACTGTTCCTTCCTTTCGCCCGGAAGTTCCGTCCCATCGAGAACGACTTAAAGCCGATAGTGCCAACTAAACTTTCGCACCGAGTGATAACGATAGCTGATCATTGATCTCTTACATTATCTACAACTATCTCTTAAGCATCCTTACTTTAAGTGGAAGCAATCTCCTCATTTACCACAAACATATCTGAATGTCTGTATATAATATCAAATTACATACAAACTTTGTATGTGTCAGGACAATTTTTAGATGATCACGAGTCATGTGGCAAAGTTTCGGACAGGTTGGTCCAATACCCTTAAAAAAAAGTGTTTCATTCGGATCGACTGATTTGAGGGGGGGTTTTAGTTCACCTTAAGCGCAAATCCTTACTTCCGGTAGGAGTGAAGCCGATGACTCCAATTAAAGTGAAAGAGGTAAATGAAAAATCAACGTGACTAAGTGGAATATGCCCCGCATTCGACAACCCCACCTCGGGGACTATTTAAATTAGTCAAAACCCGGAAATGCAATCGATACTTCCGTTTTACGGCCGTCATAAAACTCCGATAGAAATCTCCCCCGATGTCCGCAAACCCAAGCACCATGAAGCCGAGTTCTAACTTATTCCGAGGGCCCTAATCGTCCAATAATAAACACCGAGAGAATTAAGGTGAAGCGAAACCCCCCTCAAATCAGTCGATTTGAATAAGACACTTTTTTTAAGGGTATTGGATTGAACCGTCCGAAACATTGACACATGACTCGTGAGCACCTAGGAATTATCTTGACACTGAAAATATATAAAGATAAAAAAGGTGTCTTATGCGCTTCTATGCTAACACGATGGTAATACGAGGTCTCGGAGTGAAAATTTAGTTGACATGAAATCACAGATGGCGCAGGGTGGCACTCTGCAGTCAATTAGGGTATCGAAAACCATGAATCTATCTATCTGGAGTTTTACTTCGATTCCTTTATAATTATTGTACGAAAAAACAGGTGGAGCATGCCATTTAGTACAATATTAGAAAAATCTTCTTTACGGACGTCGATCAAGTTCCTCGGCATGTTTCACTTCACCTTAAAGCGGTCCTTCTCTCCAACCGAAATTTCTCCGAAAAAGGGAAATATCCACGCGAGTTGGCTCTCTTTAGAGTCTCCTCGGGAATTTTCCTCGGTCTTTTCCTCGGATGGGATTCTGCGAGGTTCACGCACGCCTCGTTTTTCAAGCCATCGGGGGAGGCCGACGAAGGAGATGGAGACGACCAGGACGGGGGAGAGAAGAAGAGAGAAAGTCTACGTCGGCCATTGGCCATCCGTTTCGCTCCACTTAGACTGATGCGCTCAACCGAGAAATTTAACAAGGCGCACGCTCCTTCCTCGCTATTCCCAATATTCTGGCCGGACGGCCGCCTTCTTAATTACTTCAATTTGCAGTTCCGACCTCAAAGCGACTTAACGACGAATATGACGAATGTGCATCGTTCGCTCGGGATGCGCTCGCCGGTTAGTTTACGCGCCGGAAGAGCCCCGAAGAGAGTGCATCTCTTCGGGAACGCTGAACCGGAACTTTCGGAGTCACCACTCTCTCAGAAAATCCGGATACTCGTGCGAAATGATTCTCATAGTTACACGATGTTATCCAACGTTCTTTATGCCATAGGGATTACCGCGGTTAAAGGTTAAAGTGATATGAAAGGCGTTGAGAAATTTAATCGATAAGACTTCCTCGATGAAACAAATTTTAATTCCGTTAATGAAACAACAGCATCAGTGATATCATGTTAAATTATTCTTGAGATGTATAATTTAGGCGGAAGCAAAATTTAATTAGAAATGGTAATAATTCGCTCCAGATTCCAGACTGAAAGTTCGTGCCAGGTTCCAGATTGAAAATAAATGATCGGATGATAAATTGTTTAGATACTTCAATAGAACAATGGAAAAATCCTCGTAGAATTTCCTGGCTCACAAGATAATGCAAAATTAAACCGAGTCAAGACTCCTTTGTAAACCTTTTAATTTAACACTAAACATTATTTCAATATGTAAGAATCAATTCTAAAATTATCCTAAAATAAAGCAGTTTGGCAATAATAAGATGACAGTATTTTGAAACTCGTAACAGATAATTAATGTGGTTAATTTTTTAAGTCAAACAGTTATACATGGGTTGACGTCAGCAATCGGGAAAAAGGGTAACGTGAAACCGCGAGGTTATTTTTCGTTAAAAACGTACATTGGAATGTTTACACGTTCCTACTGATATTGATTACTCCCATATTATAATATCCATTAATGAAGAATATCCGTAAACTGACATCAAACAATTAATCCGGTACACCGATTATCTTGGTGAATATCAACACAAAGCGCAATCATGTATGTGGGATATTATCCGCATCGAAGATTACAATTCCAATTTAACACTTTGAATCTACCGACCGATTATCCGAGATTTACTAAAATTCCATAATTAATCATTACAAATTCAATATACTTCGCGTAGAATAAAACGTATAGTCTCCAATTCGGCTTAAAATCAGCATGAAAAGGCTCGTATGTTGTAAGTGACAATTGCAAAATACTCACTACGAGCCATACTCTACTCCTGCGTTTCTCCGAGGCAGAGGAATCCTTTTTTAGAATAGACTGGATTTTCCGAACGATCAGCTGATCCGTCTGATCCAATTAATAAGATCTAGGGCGAGGATTTCTAACGTAAATTTATAATTTCACTTCGACCTTATGTATTAAAAGTGTGTGAATTTTTTTTAACAGCGTAACGTATGACGATCTCGCACTTCTACTTTAATCTTTTCACCTTTGGATATTATTTTCCCGTCGGGTGTCTAAATGTCGGAATTTCTGAATTTCTGAATTAAGCAAGGACCTCGGAAAGATGTCGCGAAGTCGCGCACTCCTGTCAGGAGTTAGGACAAATCCGCACAATGCGCACTACCGCCGGATCCGAACTGGACGTACCTACTCCTTGCAAGAAGTCGCCTTAAACTTTCGCTTTTCACAACTATTATTCCGTGCACCACCAAGCGTGCTCAGATCCTGTCCCGTGATAATGAAACGGAAGGAAAATCCGGAGGAAAGCATCTCCCCCGTAAGCGGAGCTTCTCCAAGGGACGCCGCCGTCCTGCTATGTAATTTCTCTTACAAGCTCGCCAACCTTACCTAACTGATTACATTTAAACGTACTTTATATTTCACGTCCAGTTAGGAGGAGATGGGAAATCTTCAAACCATTTTACCTGCAAGTCCCGGAGGAGCGGAAATACTGAGAATTCTACGGAAGTGGAATTCAGTAATCCAAGGATTAATTAAACGATTGCTTCACCGAATTTCTAGGGTACATAGAAGGTGAATTTGTTACACCGAAATAAATGAATCTTGTAATTGTATGCTGTACAATTGAATGCCGCCGATAGCTAATAATGTAAAATCTTTCTGTCGCTGCACGAAGTAGTTATTTCATATGTTGTGCGATTACAAAATGTCGTTAATTATTACACAAGATGTTACGTAGAAATTTATCATAAATGTGTTATCGGTATATGTCAACATGTACAAGTCAAAAGGTAATCTACTAATTGTATTAAAAATCCGATTATGTTTAACGCATGTTGTATGTCACGCATATTACAATTGCAGCAAGCTCGAACAATGCTGATAGGAAAATTCATGATAGCCGACAAGCAATTAATTCGCTTGATGGTACGATTCGACTTACCCAGTGAAAATCCTTAAACCAGTATTTTCATGGGAAGCATGGCAGCAGTGCCTTCTACGAGTGAAATCCTGAAAGTATATAAAAGAAATCAACTGTTTCGTGACTGTCAGAACTCGGGACTATTACTGCGGTTATGTCACGTGGTGACGGAAGAACGGAGTTCCGAAAGATCATTTTGCTCTCCTTCGCCGGAGATAGTCTTAATGAACGTCAGAAAGAGAACTTAATAATCAATATTACATTTAATGACTCTTTTCGTGAATTTACCCCTCATTCCTAAATTTTGCTTATAATAAAGTAATCAGATTAACGCCATCCTACGTCAAGCCCATAAGATTTATTTAGCAAATCTTAATGCATACGTATATTTTTAAATATTTTTATACAAAACGGCATGGCAGTCCAATACTCGTTTTACTGGATTTTTGAAAAATCTGTTTATCCAACATTTAATGAGATAGATAGAGATTTACTTGACCGTCGGCTCTGGTGGCGAGGACGCGTCGCTCGGAATTGCATTTCGCATTTATCACGGCGTCGCTTATCTGCTGAGGTAGGCGCGGGGATCGATCCCCACGAGCCGTCGGCTCTATTGAAGAGAAACCAAAACCATCCGACTAATCGAATTCGTAATCGCGTTGGCGGGTCTTTTTTTTTTTTTCCCCGGCACTCGCGGAGCTTAGGGCGACGAGAATGCGCATGTACGCACTGCGACGCACACTCGCGCACTTTCGTGCCTCCATTCACAAATCAGATGGGAAGCGCTTCCTGCCGGCCATTCATCGGACAGCCCATTGTCCTCACCTTCCAACATGCGTATCTATTATATACACGGATTTTTTTCTTTCGGCACCTCTCGCTCCCTGTCCCGACGAATACCGTCCATCTAAATCGGAGACACTTTGCCTCCATTTTGAGATGAAAGCGCCGCCCCAGCTCGATATTCTAATCTATCCCAGAGATATATCGAAATGCGTTCTGGCGTGGTAAATAAAAACACCCTATCTAAAATGACTATCTCAAGGATCTCCCGTGAAAGATTTATCTTTTTCATTTTTCCTCTTTTCCGTAGCTTCGGTATCCATTTTATAAAAATCGCCGATCGCAAAGGGAACGTGACACATGGAGGTCGCGGAGGCAATTCGAGCTTGTTTTCGAGGCGCGACTCGAATTTTGGAGAATTTTCGAGAGGAATCCGGTCGGTGCATCCGGCGGAATCGGCGGACAGGCGGAATCACCATAAATTCTGGCTCGGCCTGTGTTTCGCGAATGTTTCGCCGAGTCCCGGCCTTCTTGTTTTCATCCGGGCGTCATCCCCTTGTCTCGCCCCTTCCGTCACCTCGGCGGCCCCGGTGAAAAATCTTAACGAATTTTCCACCCCCCTGCCTGGGAGGGGCAGGCAGGGGGCAGGCGAGAAAAATAGAGGAAAATCCCGCAACTCTCGGAGGCGGAAGGCCGTAAGTCGCGCCCCGCGACCGACATCCCCCGATGGCCGACGTCGAGTTTCGCGCCCCTCAGACTCCGAGGGCGCTTTCCACCCCTCGGCGGAGAGTAATTTTTCCCTAGTCTGCCTGATTGAGTTGTTAAGAGACGCCGTAGCTTTTCGTAGTAAACAAGTTAAGCGGCAGGTAGTGAACAGACCTAACCTACGTAAGGAGCGCCTAGGTGAAAGAGGTAAAAGAGGGCGAGGACGTTAACGGAAAGGCTCTCCTGCTACCTGGACGAAAGCTTAAGAATTTCCGCTGATCTCGTTCCTCCGGATGGATATCTTCTCGACATCTCCTAAACTGCGTTAGGTTTACGGTGATATGAAAGGGTCAATCTATATGTCGGAGAAGTCAAATCGTTGGGGAAAGTAGTCTCCGAATTGGGAGTACCGACTCGCTTCAAAGGAAGTCAAACGAAGTCACGGTGTGGAATAAATTTTATCATCGACTTCTCGATGGTGACTTCCACCGTCGATTGGATGATCGATCCGCAATGGCGACGTCAAGTATGGACACACAAAACTGGCTGATTCCACGTTACTGTAATGGAGCCGAGCGCACTTCCGGTCCCACCCGGAAGGCCGCTCCCGTCATGGTTGCTCCCACGTCGAGCCCACCAATACCAGCTTATTCTTCTAATTCATTCGTGCGTCGTGCATTACGGTAAAAGGATGCTGTCGCCATTAACTGCGAGGCCTGCTTCCGATCGGCAGTCTCTCGGTGACCTCTAACCCGTTGGCATCGTCCGAAAATCGCTTCTTTCGAATTCCCCTCCTCGGCTAGTCTACAAGGAATCCGTGAAACGAGTTTATCGACAGAGATAACGATTTTGACATCAAGGTAGAAACGTCTGCAGATATGATTACGAGGTACGCACTAATTGTGGCAGTGTGCACATTTAAGGCAGTCGTACCGCGTGACGGCTGTATTTTTTCACTTTATGAATTTTTTCTAACGAACCATGAAAATACCCCATCTTGGAATTTTTACAATATATTTATTAACATGTATACAGTCACTCGGAATTTTTTCAAGCAAAAATATAAAACGGAATCGACTTT